AAAACTTACAGTGAACTTCTAAACCAAAGAGGGAACACAGTTCAGAAACCACGGTACAACAGACTGACGTTATGTGAGTGCAGTTTAAAACTAAGCAGGAGAATTTATTCGAAAACCCAGTCTTGAAAGGAACCTGATCGTACGTCCACAACTAGTAAAAAAACAGCAAACAGTTCATTTGTATGTGAAAGGGAGAAGGCACAGTACTCATAAAATTGTCCCCTCTTTCAAGCATGCGAGGTAAGCCGCTCTAACAACATGTCCACTTTTAAGTTATGAAGAAACTGGTGGAGTCACATGCAACGTATGATCTAATTCGCAGTTTTCGATCGCGGCACTCTTCTCTGGCCAGGCAGGGTCTTAAGTGCGTACTACAATACAAACAATCCGAAAATTCCGAACTAAGCTACATAAAACCTGTTGATATGGTGACAGGGTGGTAGCCTTATCAAGAATACATCAAGGGAAATCAAAAGTGCCTGAGGAAATTTGGTCAGACTATAAAAACTCATCGGTGATAAGATTAGAAGAGGTTTGAAGTTGACAGTAACAACCGCGAGTGCACACTTGCAGGTGTTGTGTGGACTTGATATTCAGTCATGTGCACGGCGAACACAACAATTAAATACTTGGAATAAGGGGAGAATTTCGGGTTTCCCGAAATGTTGTTTAAATACCGGTTTGAAGTCTATCCTAAACGCCACGGGGAAAAAGTCGCTGGCATATTAGTGGAATATTGGGTAAATATACTAAGTATTTAAGCAAGCACTCGGCAGGACTTAAAATGACATCAAAAAAGTTTTGTATAGCAAACAAAATCGGCATAAAAAAACATTTTCATCTCAGCTAGTAACTTCGATGCACACAAGTAGCAGTTCATCGTTGACCAGTAGTTTCTAGACTTAATCTCTAAGTTCCCCTCTTAACGGCCTTTGTTGTATCTGCGAGGTGCTTCGACGGAAATCACATACCAGACGTCCAAGAACTACCTCTACCTTTGGATGAACTGGGTTTGGCTCGACCTTTTCGGCGTCCCCCGTAGGTGAGGACAATCGAATTACGGACAAAAGTACTGAACACACTGGTGACAAATTGGGTAACGTAAACGCTTTACTAATTTCTCTCGGATGACGTGAGATATCCTCGCCATATTGCAGCGAGTACGAATTGCCTCATGCGAAACGAGATTTGTGTATTTCACGCAAAGATTGCTTTTCGGTCTTCGACTGCCTGTATGCACAACCTACGTGAAAATAAAGACGAGTCTTAGCGGCGATTAGAATACCGCGACCGGTCTACATAGCTATATGGTCCGTGAACTATCAACGTGTAGCATAACCTCAAGTGACGACGCCCTAATTACTCGATGCATTTAGAGAAAGCATAGCTCTGAGACACTCGAGCAATCTACTTAGACCAACAAAAGACCATTAGAGTTGCGAACATTCCCATCAGAGAATTCAGAAGACTAGTTCGACGAGCGTACGTATACTCTCGATAAATCCTTGTCAGGCCTGTACATTTATATGGGAGTGAAGTACAAGTCCAAACGTGTTCTTCTTGTGGTACAAGTGATTCGTGGGAATGGGGGGTGAGGTCGATAAGAGAAGGCTGGTTATGAGAGCAGGGTTTGGTGGTGCTAAAAGGAATGTCTTAGCAAAGCAGTTAGAAAATACTGGCTTGCCCAGGGCTGACGATTTTGCAATCTCGTTCCCTGTAACCGTATATTATTTAGGTCATAGAAGCATGAAGTCAGACGGCGACATCGTCTGCCTAGTTGAGGTCGATCAGCCAGCCCTCGTAAGTGAAGTTTAAACCGTTAAAACCACGTTGAGCCCGACCAAGGATCCAGTCAATAGCGAAGTGGAAAAAGATGCGCAGAAAAAAGCAATCATTTTGGATACTACGTGTAATGTTTATCACTGTAATGGATCAGAACTAGAACACTTGTGGAGCGACAGCAGACCCTGGCCACCAGCTGCGCTGGTTGGACCTCGGCTAGTGTTGAGCTAAATGCAAGTGTTGGTCCTCATAGAACAATAATGACTAGATCCGTAAATAAAGATCCATTGTTTTTATAGAAATGTAGAATCTAGGAGTTGGCGTCAGTTAATGAAGGTTTCGAGTGAGGAACAGAAAAACGAAGTTGATAAAGCCACCTGCTAACCTCCCAGCAGATATACAATGAACGAGTTAGCAAGCTAATTGAATGTGGTGTCCAAAGCATTGACTCGTAAATCATTCCAGGACCGAGCACCGGTTTCCAATGCTTTTCTTCTGTGGCTGGGTACGTCGTCACGGCAGTACTACTACCACAAAGAGTAGCTAGGGAAGATAGTACAGTAGTACCAGCGCAAAAAGCTACTGTCATTTAAAACTAGGTTAGGCGGTGATTCGGCTTGCATTTGATAAAGCAGCCTACGCCGGACATTGTTTAGTCTTCGAGACTCCGAGAGAAGGTGAAGAGTACGGAGCCGCTAACTACGTCCTCTATCACTTTAAAGCTAACACCTGAGACTGT